AATTACAGAAAAATACGCTTTTCCTGTCCTTTATCATCACCCATGAAGTTACCTCTCATGGTGTTCTATGTTTCTTCACATGGATTTGACTTATCTGTCTAATGTTTTGTATCCTTCTGCAGGCTTGCTTTCATGATTTCTCACAGGGCAGGATGTGTTAGTGTGTAATTCAGTTTCTATTTATCTGGGGATTGTCTCAATTTTGCTTCTTGATGGAAAATTCTGTTGGACTCGGAGCTCTTATTCGACAGTCTTTGTTCACCTGTCACCTTTTTGGTTAGGATTTCTCTGACTACTTATTTTTTTTACAACCATCTTGTTAAGAATTGCAGGCTTGCCAATCCTATACAGTGCCAGTTTTCCTTTCTCATTTTTTGGTCAGTACAGTCATGTCTCACTCAGTAACAGGATACATTCTAAGAGAGATGATCTTAGGTAATTTCAGTAGAGTGAAATAGATACATCATAGAGTATATTTGCACAATCTTTTATGGTTACAATATCTCTGGGACCTGGAACCTCCCTGTAGTCCATCATGGATTACATCATGACCATACATTTTTTATTTTTTTAAAGATTTATTTATTTTTATTGGACAGGCATATATACAGAGAGGAGGAAAGACAGAGAAGAAGATCTTCTGTCTGATGGTTCACTCCCCAAGCGGCTGCAACGGCTAGAGCTGAGCTGATCCTAAGTCTGGAGCTTTCTCCAGGTTTCCCGTATGGGTAGAGTCCCAAATGTTTGGATTGTCATCAACTGCTTTCCTAGGCCACAAGCAGGGAGGTGGATGGGAAGTGGTGCACTTGGAACATGAACTGGTGTCCATATGGGATCTTGGGCATGCCAGGGGAGGACTTTAGCCACTAGGATACCACGTCAGGCCCCATATGTCTAATAAAAAAAAAAAACTCATTTACTTATTTGAAGAGCAGAGTAAGGGCCCAGTGTGCTGGTCTAGCAGCTAAAGTCCTCGCCTTAAATGTGTTAGGATCCCATGTGCGCACTGGTTCTAGTGCTGTTGGCCCTTTTTCCCATCTAGCTCCCTGCTTATGACCTGGGGAAGCAGTGGAGGACAGCCCAAAGGCTTGGGAGTCTGCGTCCATGTGGGAGACCCGGAAGAGCTCCTGGCTTCATATCATCTCAGCTCTAGCCATTGCAGTCACTTGGGGAGCGAATCATTGGATAGAAGATCTTCCTCTCTGTCTCTGCTCTTCTATGTATATTTGACTTTAAATATTTAAATAGATCTTTAAAAAAAAAAGCAGGGCCCGGCGCGGTGGCGCAAGTGGTTAAAGGTCCTCGCCTTGCACGCCCGGGATCCCTTATGGGCGCCGGTTCTAATCCCGGCAGCCCCGCTTCCCTTCCAGCTCCCTGCCTGTGGCCTGGGAAAGCAGTCGAGGACGGCCCAAGGCTTTGGGAACCTGCACCCGCGTGGGAGACCCGGAAGAGGCTCCTGGCTTTGGATCGGCATAGTATCGGCCCGTTGCGCTCACTTGGGGAGTGAATCATTGGACGGAAGATATTCCTCTCTGTCTCTCCTCTCTGTATATCCGCCTTTCCAATGAAAAAATAATAAAAATAAATCTTAAAAAAAAAAAAAAGCAGAGTGACAGATGGAAATACAGAGTGAATGAATGAACGAGTGAGAGAGAGAATATTTGCTCTGCCAAGTGGTCATGTTAGCTTTGGCTGGTCCAGAGTGAAGGCAGGGGCCTGTAGCTGCATCTGGGCTTCTCATGTGGATGGCAGGGAACCAAGTACTTGGGCCATTCCCTGCTGTCTCCCAGGTGTCTTAGCAAGAAGTTGGATCAGAAGTGGGACCTGAATTTCAAATAAGTATAAAATAAATATTTTTTAAAAAATTATTTCCTTGAGGAGTTTATAGAGAGAAAGAGAAGGAGAGAGATGTTGTTTCTTACTGATTCATTTCCCAAATGGCATTATTATCTTGGGTTGGTCCAGGTGGAAGCCAGGAACTTCCATATCTCCCGTGTGGATGGCAGGTGCCCAAGCACTCCATTACTTTCCCAGACTCATCAGCAGGAAGCTGGATTAGAAGTGGAGCAGCTGGGATTTGAATTGGCATCCATATGGGATTCCACTGTCAAAGGTGTTGGTGGCTTATCCAAGTATGCCAGGGCATTGATCTCTGCATGGGTTAATTTATGTGAACATGGTTTGAAATCCACAAAGTGGTGAGAATTGTTACGTGATTCTTTCTCCTAAATAAGTTATATAAAGTATTTCTGCAGTGTCAAATGAGTGGCACTGGTACCATTTTTTTTTTAAAGATTGCTTTATTATGTTTGGAAAGGCAGATATACAGAGAGAAGGACACACAGAGAGAAAGGTCTTCCATTCACTGGTTCACTCCTAAAGGGACTGCAATAGCCAGAGCTGAGCTGAACTGAAACCAGGAGCTTCTTCTGGGTCTCCCAATGGGTATGCAGGGTCCCAAGGCTTTGGGCTGTCCTCGACTGCTTTCCCAGACTACAAGCAGGGAGCTGGCTGGGAAGTGGAGCACGCGAGGTATGAACCAGCGCCCATATGGATTCTGGTTGCATGCGAGGCAAGGACTTTAGCTAGTAGACTAGCGCTGGGCCCAGTAGCAATTTTTATTGATAATTTTGGAGATGGTGATATTGCTGTGGTTGAGGAGTCTTGTTTGGCAAGAGTTTTTATAGGAGATAGGACTCAGGTCCCTGGACTTAATTTAAAAAAAAAATATTTATTTATTTGAAATGTCAGAGTTATAGAGGCAGAGGGAAAGCAGAGATATCTCTCTAACAGAGGTTTTCTTTATCTCTCTCTTTCTTTCTATCCTTGTTTTTATTGGAAAGGCAGATCTACAGAGAGGAGAGACAGAAAGATCTTTGATCAGCTGGCTTACTCCCCAAGTGGCCACAATGGCTGAAGCCAAGCCCATCTGAAACCAGGAGCTAGAAAGTTCCTCTAGGTCTCCCACATGGGTGCAGGGTCCCAAGGCTTTGGACCATCCTCCGCTGCTTTCCTAGTCTATAAGCAGGGAGTTAGAGGGGGAAGTGGAGCAGCCAGGACATGAACCGGCTCTCATATAGGATGCTGGCGCTGCATGGAGAGGACCAACCGGTTGAGTGAATGTATCTTCCATCTGTTGTTTTACTATCCAAATGATTGCAACATTTGGTTGGACCAGCCTGAAGCCAGGAATCTGGAACTTCATCTTGATCTCCTAGGTCGGTGGCAGGGGTCCAAGGGCTTGAGCCATCTTCTGCTGCCTTCCCAGGAGCATCAGCAGGGAAGCAAGGTAGCTTTGACTCAAACGGGCAGTGTCATTTGGGATACAGGGATGCTGGAGTTGAAAGCAGTAACTGTGCTTTGGTGCTGGCTGTGGACTTAATTGAGGAAGCATCCATATGCAAGACTTTTTGAACAAATAGAGGGTAAGATAAAATAATTATTTTAGGGCTTCTAGGAGAGGTCCTGACTTTTTTACAGGAAAGAATGAGGAGCAGGTGGTCATTTACGTCAGAGTCTAAAAATGTTACTTAAGATCAGGGAAGTAAGAATGGAGTAAAGAGGGGCTGGCGTGATGACTCAACTGGTTCATCCTCCACCTGTAAGCACCAGCATCACGGTGTGGGCATTGGTTCTTGTCCTGGCTGCTCTACTTCTGATCTAGCTCCATGATTATGGCTCGGGACAAGAGCAGAGAATGACCCAAATCTTTGAAACCATGCAGCCATGTGGGAGACCCGGAGGCAGCTCCTGATTTTGGATCAGCTCAGTCTGGCCATTGTGGCCATTTGTGTAGTGAGCCAACAGATGGAAGATCTTTCTGCATCTCCTTGTCTTTGTAAATTTGCCTTGTCTGCCATGCAGGTGCAGGGCCCCAAGGCTTTGGGCCATCTTCTACTGCTTTCCCAGGGCATAAGCAGGGTGCTGTATAGGAAATGAGGTATCTGGGATATGACCGGTGCCCATATAGGATCCAGTGGATGCAAGATGAGGATTTAACCAGTAGGTTATAACTTCAGGTCCAACATTCCCTTTTTTTTTTTTTTTTTTTGGAAAGATTTGTTTACTTTTATTGCAAAGTCAGATATACAGAGAAGAGGTGAGACAGAGAGGAAGATCTTCTGTCTGATTCACTCCCCAAGTGTCCGCAATGACTGGAGCTGAGCCCATCTGAAACCAGGAGCCTAGAGTCTCTTCCAGGTCTCCCACATGGGTGCAGGGTCCCAAGACTTTAGGCTGTCCTTGACTGCTTTCCCAGGCCACAGGCAGGGAGCTGGTTGGGAAGCAGGGCCATTGGGATTAGAACTGGTACCCATATGAGATCCCAGTGCATTCAAGGTAAAGAAGCTGCTGAGCTACCATGCTGGGCCCCCAAGATTCCCATATCTTTTTTTTTTTTTAAAGATTTATTTATTTATTGGCAAGTCAGATATATAGAGAGGAGGAGAGACAGAGAGGAAGATCTTTCGTCCGATGGTTCAATCCCCAAGTGAGCGCAATGGCCAGTGCTGTGCCGGGAACTAGGAACCTCCTCCAGGTCTCCCACATGGGTGCAGGGTCCCAAAGCTTTGGGCCGTCTTCGACTGCTTTCCCAGTCCACAAGCAGGGAGCTGGATGGGAAGTGGAGCTGCCGAGATTAGAACTGGCGCCCATATGGGATCCTGGTACGTTCAAGGCGAGGACTTTAGCCTCTAGGCCAGGGTGCTGGGCCCAAGATTCCCATTTCTTAAAGCTGCTCCAGACACTGTATTCATGCAGAAAAGAAGTGGCATAGAACGGAAGCCCTGAATTTCTAGAGGAGGGGGAGAAGGAGGAGGGCTAAAGTCTTCTGGAACATGCTGGAGACTGTTGTGGCGGAGTATGTCTTGCAGGACAGAGAGGAACTCAGTAGACGGAAACAGGCATCAGTGTGGTTCTTACAACATGATGTCCTTGCTTTATGTGTTCCCTTTGCCCCAACTCATTTGATGTTTCATGGCCACTTCTCTGCTTTTCAAAAGGATCTACCGCTACCAGTCTCATGACTACGCCTTTAGTACTGTGGAAAAAATGCTACATGGTCTAGGAGGGGATGACTTCGTTGGAACGATTAACCGAACACTTCTTGAAAGCTTGCAGAAGGCAGGTTTCTCTGAGAAATTCCTTAATGAAATGGTTGCTCCTGTCATGAGGACCAATTACGGCCAGAGCTTGGGCATCAATACTTTTGTGGGTAAGGCACGCCTTGCGGTGGTAGTGATTAGTTCATGGGTGGGATTTCCTGATGTGTGGTGGCTTCTGACTTGGGCCATGGTTGGAGAAGGTTGCCTTTTGCTGAACTCAGCCAGGGTTCTTTTCTCTCAGTAGTTCATTGGTCTTCACTGGGGGGAGATTTTGCTCCCAAGGGCTATTTTGCAATGTCTGGAGACATTTGGAGCAGAACATCTAATAGGGACGGGAATGTGGGTAGAAGGCCTCTTACAAAACTTTCTTTTTCTTGCTTTCAGGGGCGGTATCAATGGCCTGTACTGACTCTGGCCTTTGGGCAGTAGAAGGCGGCAATAAACTAGTTTGCTCAAGGCTCCTCCAGGCTTCCAAAAGCAATCTTATTTCTGCCTCAGTAGTGTCGATAGAGGAGAAAACAAGGACCAAGCAGACAGGTGAGTTTGGAATTTTTTGTTCTTAATCATCCTTGCAGAAAGTACTCAGGAGGAAATCTCCAGTAAACTTTTTTTGCTCAGTGTCACAGTGATGCAACTACAACTGGATTTGTTGTGCCATGTAGAAATATTCTCCCAATGTGATAATAATGCATGAGATGGTTATTTTTGGGGATAGAACTCTTTTTTTTAAAAAAAAAATTTATTTTATTTTTATTACAAAGTCAGATATACAGAGAGGAGGAGAGATAGAGAAGATCTTCCGTCCGATAATTCACTCCCCAAGTGAGCACAACGGCCGGTACTGTGCCCATCCAAAGCCAGGAACCAGGAACGTCTTCCAGGTCTCCCACACGGGTGCAGGGTCCCAAAGCTTTGGGCCGACCTCGACTGCTTTCCCGGTCCACAAGCAGGGAGCTGGATGGGAAGTGGGGTTGCCGGGATTAGAACCGGCGCCCATATGGGATCCCGGGGCACGTTCAAGGCGAGAACCTTAACCACTTGCACCACCGGTCCCGGCCTAAGGCAGAGAATTTCTTGTAGGAAGCATAACATATAGTATGTTAGAAACACTAAAGAAACTGTTTTTTCTGTTTAGGAAGTTCCACGAAGGTATATGAAGTGGTCTACCAAACTGGATCTGAGACTCGTTCAGACTTCTATGACATTGTCTTGATAGCCACTCCAATGAATCAAAAAATGGCCAACATAACTTTTCTAAACTTCGATCCTCCAATTGAAGAATTCCATGGGTCCTTTCAACAGGTCGTGACAACTTTAATTAAGGGGGAATTGAATTCAACTGTCTTTAGCTCTAGAGCCAAAGATAAATTTGGTCTTTCTGCAGTTTTAACCACTGATAATTCAGATTTGTTCATTAACAGTATTGGGATTACAGCCTCTGTAAGAGAGAAGGATGGCCCTCAACCATCAACGGATGGAACACACGTTTGGAAGATTTTTTCCCAAGAAACTCTTACTAAAGCACAAATTTCAAAGCTGTTTTTGTCCTATGATTATGCTGTGACGAGGTCCTGGTTTGCGAGTCCTCAGTATAAGCCCCCCAAGAAATGTCCTTCCATCATACTCCACGACAGACTCTATTACCTCAATGGCATAGAGTTTGCGGCCAGTGCCATGGAGATGAGTGCCATTGCTGCTAACAATGCCGCCCTCCTTGCCTATCACCGCTGGAATGGGCATGCAGACATGATTGACCAAGAAGACCTCTATGAGAAACTTAAGACAGAGCTATGAAGTGACACACACCCCCTCCCAGTTCCAAATATCTGTCACCGGCAAAAAGAGAATGGACCTGAGTTTGTCAAATATTTAGCAGCTCCTGAGGAAATATGAGATTCTAGTTTAAGTTTGAAGATAAAATTACTGCACTTAATGCCATCTCCCAAATTGCCTTTTTTCCCACTGTTAGCAGTATTTACTAAGTGTGTCTGCCTGGAAGAATCACCAATAATTTCTTCAATAGACTAATGCTCAAGTTCCCTCGTTGGAGATTCGGATTCGGTCTGTCTGGGACTGGGGCCCTGGATTTTGATCAGAACCAGAGTAAGCTGAGCACTTCAAGGACCTGCAGCCACCTTCCAGACTCCTTCGTTTGCACTGCACAGATGACATAATCATCACGTGAAACTGCTGTCTCAAACCTGGCTTTGTTAACTTTCTGTGCCCATGCCTCAGGTTCTGACCTTCATAAAAAATTTTGATTGTGAGCTGAAACTCAAATGTTTCAGAAACATAACCTTAAGGTGTCGTACAAAAATCTCAAATAAGGTGAAAAGTACAGGTCATTGAATAAAAAATTGGCATTCTATTATTAAATTTCTACTTGAACATCCTGATAAACACAACCATGGGTTGTGATTTAATAGATTGAGGATTTGAATGTGGTAGATTTTTGTTCGTAAAGTGCAGCCAGGGTTGAGAGCATTTATGTGGGAGTTAAAACATCTACAAAAGGGTTTTTAATGCCTTTAGTCCTAAGACATCCTGTGCACAAAGGAGATTCATTCACAAGCAGTGATTTCTCTCCATGAGAACTTTAGCAGGAGTAACCTTGACAGCAAGAATCGGCAAGTCTACCACCAGAGGCACCTTAGATAACTACAGAATGGTTGGCATTACTGCAGTATACTCAGAATATTGAATTTCTCAATCTAAGTTGTCAAAATTTAAATGTCTCAAAGTTCTTATTTTCTGGATAGGAATTGGGTGCTGAAATCTAAAGGCAGTCGCTTCTTGGCCTTTTGGCTAAGATCAAGTGAAAGGCGGTGGCTCTCAACCTTGATGCACATTGGAATCACCTGTCGGGCTTTGAGTTTTCCAGGTGACTCTAAAATGCAAATTTGAGAACCAGTTCTACATGTACTTTACAAAAGATCATGGACTCTTATTGCCACTGGCAGAAGAGAACAAGTAAAAGCGTGTGTTCTAAAAATGATGGCAACTGAATTACAGCATACACTGCTGAAGTCCTTTATCAAGTGTGACAGTACCACTGTTAACAAAATAGTGCAAGAACATTGGTTCTTAATAAGCATTATTCTCTACTGCAGTTGTGAATAAAACTGCCAAAATTTATTTGGATTAGAAGCAGAAATAAACTCATGGTTTGTCAACAGATCAGCTTTTTAAAATTGTATTCTTCAGTGTGTTAAGAAGCATTCTATTTTTGTTTTTGTGATTTTAATGGAAACAATTTGTACAGCCTGTGGTACTATTATATGATACAGCAGTCCCCTCTTACCCAATGGGGATATGAATTATATATATTTACGGCTTAATTTATAAATCAGGCAGAGTTAAAAATGAATAGTAAAACACAATCAGAGCACTATAATAAAAGTTACTTAAAAGTTAGGATTTGTTGCCAGAATTTTCCCGTTTTTTATGCTGTGGGCCTTAGATAATTAACTGTGGAAAACCAAACCACAAAGGGGACTACTGTCAATATTGGCAAATACTCATAAGACTTAATTCCTATCATTTGCAAACTTTACATTGGAATATATTTCTGTGTGTAAGAATACCAAGTTAATGTTACTGGCATTCATTCTATCGACCTATTCAGAGTAAATTTTGATGTTGCTCTCAAAACAGGTGGTCAAAATATCAAACATTAGGTGGTTTTAATGCAACTGGTATTAAAAGAATACTTTTCTACTAAGAAAAATACTATTGAGCCTGCTATGCTAGGCTTATCTTAGGTAGATTTAAGTAATTGTAGTATTAAAGAATTAATTTTATTGGAAGAAAAATACAGAGCTTGCTACTCTGAACTATACTTTTTATTTGTAATTGGTAAAAATGACCTGAGTTGGAAAGCCAATTCAATCCATTTGTTCTGAGTAAGCATCGGATATAGCTGGGGGGGGGGGGGCTTATTACATTGCTGGGTCCCACCTTCAGGCCTCATTTGTTTCGTTACAAAAATTTCCATTTCTGTGAAGTTCCTAGGTGATGTTATAATTCTACAGATCACAGTTGGAGATCTACATGTCTGCAAAAATGTCAATGAAGAGCTAAAAGTTCAAGAATGGAGGAACAAGATGTGTATTGGACTTCACGTCAACTCTACTGTCATTCAGTCAGATGTCTTTCTTTTGCTATAAAGTTTCTAGGAACAAGAAATATTTTACACAGCCCAATGTGATCTGTACCTACCAACTTGGGTATGCTTTATAGTTTTAAAGTGAGTCAGGATTTGCAGACTTTTTACCAGATCACAGAAGTACAGGCCTTACTTGCTCAGTAACTTTAAGATTAGGCTTGTAACACAACCATCTGTAATGTATCTCCCTGGGCCATGAAGAAACACTCATGAATTACTTGAATATCTGGATAGCATTCCCACTACCCTTTACTCACAAATAACCACAATACACTGGAATGTTCTCCTCTGAAATCCCATGTCTACTCTTTAATGCAAATCCCTACCCCATCCCATGATTACGTTCAAAATAAACGACGTCATTACTCCTTGTGGTTTACTTCTGCTGTGCTATACTTGGAAATTCCAAATGGAACACTATATCTGACCTCTGTCTCATCACAGTAAAAGTAGCATTATTTTTCAGGCTGTTGTGTCTAAAAAATAAAAATGAAGATTACAGTATAATTTAACTCCCATTCCTGCAATATTTACTTCAAAACTGAAAAAAATCTGAAACACTTCTGATCACAATCATCTAAGATAACCTACACCTGGAGAAGTCAGACTACATCAAGGTCAGTTAATAGTTCATGCGTGTATTCAGTGCTGAAAAAGTCCTTGGTATACTTCATTTACTAATGCATAAAACCCTTTAAAATCAGTTCCTCCAAGAAAACTTACATTGGAAAAAGAACTGGCGTTACTGTTCTATTTCTGCATTTACAACATGACACATTTTTGACTATCACAAAAGTTTATTAAAAAACAAACCAAAAAACCATGAAAATGTACATGTTCCAACTTTCACATCACACAATAGCAAAACAGGTTCTTCTGGAGAGGGGATCTGGATTTCTCTGCCGGAACACTCATTATACTCGTTCCAAGGCTTCTAACATGATGATACTATTTCCTCGTATTACCTAAGAAAAAGCAAATGTGAAAAATATGAAGACACCGATGATTCAAAACATTTTATAGTATTTATAATAGTATTTTTTTGGTATTACATATCAATTTGTGAAGCATAAGGATATCAAATAAATCTTTTGATCATGACATATATCTTCCAGCCAGGCCATCGCCATCTCATTTTACTTTCTACTCTGTATGACTCAAATGAACTTGCCCATTCCTGTCCTCAACAGGGCCAAACATTTATGGGAAAACAGGCACAGCAGAGTATCAATTTAGGGTGCAAGATAATGTGGCTCCATTTTCCCAGGCTTTGATCCTCTTGAAAGATACAGCTGTGTAACAAAACATGAACCCCAAACAGTTGCAGAAGCACAACTCTAGCAAGAGCTCCTGAATACACAGCACCCTCAAACCTAGGAGTTTAATTACATTCGTAATTAGTAGAGGTAACCTCAGATGGAGAAGTATCTCTGGAAAATAGGACAGGATATGCCACCGACAACTCTATGTGTGCCTCAGAAGGCAGATGAGACTCAGCACTAGCCAAGTGAACTCTTCCTCAAAACATTATGTAGTTGATTTGTGTAACACGTCACTGACTTGGACAAAGTCGAATAAAGGCAATGGAACAGCTAACACAGACCCAGAAGGCAGCAGTGATGGCAAGTGATCTGGAACCTCTCAAGTGGGAGACCTCGACTGATGTGCTGGCTGATTCTAACCTTAGCTTTTATAAACATTTGGGTAGTAAAGCAGTGAATGGGAGAGCTCCCTCCAACATCCCTAAGAAGGAAAACAAAAACAACAAAAACCCCAAAACACTCTTTATGAAAGGCGACTGGCAAATTATTCTCACCCTCCATTTTTTAAGATTTACTTTTTAATTGCAAAGTCAAATACACAGAGAGAAGAGAGAGAGGAAGATCTTCCACCCACTGATTCACTCCTCAAGTGGCTGCAACAGCTGGATGGGAAGCGGGGGCTGCCGGGATTAGAACTCCACCCATATGGGATCCCAGCGCATACAAGGCAAGGACCTTAGCCGCTAGGCTACTGCGCTGGGTTCCTTTTTGTCCTTGCCAAGATTTATTTATAGGAAGGGGAGATACAAGTATCTTCCATCTGCTGGTTCTCTCCCTAAATGGTTGCAATAGCTAGGGCTGCTGGGCCAGGAGTTTGATGCTCCACTGAGATCTCCCATGTGGCAGGTGTTTCTGCAATTCTAACTGGGTCTCCCACATGGGTAACAGCCCCACGCATTAGGGCCATCACCTGCTGCTCTCCTTCTCAGGTGCATTAGCAGGGAGCTGGATCAGAAAGGAAAAGCTGGGAACAAACCAGTGCTAACACACACACTTCAAGAGGCAGACAGAACTTTCCTTTGGCAAGTTTGCTCTAAAACGCCTACAACCACCAGGAGGATAACACTGGGAACTCAAGCTCACCCAGCTTAAAGGAACACAACCACTTCAGCCCTCAACCTCACTGATGGCTAGCCAGAAAGGAACTAGGAATCGAATTCAGGCACTCTTACGTGGGATACAGCCATTTCAATTTCTAGATCAAATGTCTATTCATGGATTACTTTTAAGTCTGTGGTGTGATAAACCAGAAAATCCAGGTTAATTATGTATAGAAATAAAAGAACAAAAACCAAAACACAGAATCTTTTGCCTGGCAGATTTCACAATCTGGGTAAGTGTTAGAAATGCAAAATCTCAGGGTCTACCCCTTAACTGCTGGACTTACTTGCATTTTAATAAGATACTCTGGGGTATTTGTATAGGTCTTGAGAGCTACCACTTTAAGTACTGGCTATAGACCTCCTTCATAGAACAAAGGTAAAAAATGATTTCCAACAGCAGTTTCAAGGCCTAGGTCCTTAAAATTTCCTGATTAGCTGGGATCCCTCCCCCCCAACAGAAATATCACACCCGATCGACTATCACATGTTAAACTAAACGCAAGTCCAACCTTCTGGGGTCTTCTGGGGTGATTCCAATTTAATCAAACAGTTTGATGTGAGAAAATTAGCACACATCCTAAAATATCAAATATCTAAGAAAAATCTTATTTCCACTTACCACCATTCCAATATTGTTCTGCTGTCCACTATTTGCCATCTCCACACATTCATCTATCACCAGATTCATGAAGGGATCAAATCCTCGCAGTATTCCCTGGACATGTCTGCCACCATTTAATTTTACTACAGAAAGAAGAAAAATAGTTTTAATAAATCTGTCTTTTATTATTTAATCATTAAAAATAAGGTGTGATAAAACAGATATTTGAAATGTTTGACCCACTTCACTACTAGATTAAACATTTTATATTTACTCTTACATTTCGTTTATAAGATTATGTGTCCAGTGTTTTGGTGTAGCCAGTAAAGCTGCTGCCAGTGGTGCTGGCATCCCACAAGGACGCTGGTTCCAAGTCCTGGCTGCCCCACTTCTGCTCCAGCTCCCTAATGGCCTGGAAAAGGTGGAGATGGCCCAGGTGCATAGCCCATGGCCATCCTGGCCATCTGAAGAATGAGCCAGTGAATGGAAGACCTCTCGCTCCATGTTTAACTTTGCCTTCCAAATAAACAAGTTCATGGTTTTAACCTTTACCCCACATGTGAGAACTAATTCAGTTCATTGTGGATTATTAAGTTGAACAAATTTGTGCTTTTTTACACGTTCTCAAGAAAACAGAAAAACTGCTTCTTGTCCAAGTACTCTGTAGCTTATTTATGGGAAAAATAGTACATAAATTTTTCCTAATTGCCACATATGAAACTCCCTTTAATTCTGTCAAAAATGAGGGAAGAATCATGAAATAACCAAAACTCTTTTTTTTAAAAAAGATTTATTTGTTTTTATTACAAAGTCAGATATACAGAGAGGAGGAGAGACAGAGAGCAAGATCCTTCATCCCATGATTCACTCCCCAAGTGACCGCAATGGCCAGTGCTATGCCGATCAGAAGTCAGGATCCAGGAATCTCTTCCAGGTCTCCCACACGGGTGCAGGGTCCCAAAGCTTTGGGCCGTCCTCGACTGCTTTCCCAGTCCACAAGTAGGGAGCTGGATGGGAAGTGGAGCTGCCGGGATTAGAACCAGCGCCCATATGGGATCCCGGTGTATTCAAGGCGAGGACTTTAGCCATTAGGCCACGCTGCTGGGTCCCAATAACCTAAACTCTTAAATTTGATAAATTTATTAAGTGCCAGAAATTCGGTAATTAAAATGGTCTATTTTAATAAATCTGGACAGGGCCTGGCATGATAGCGTAGTGGCTAAAGTCCTTGCATTGAACACACTGGGATTCCATACGGGTGCAGGTTCGTGTCCTGGCAGTCCCGCTTCCCATCCAGCTTCCTGCTAGTGGCCTGGATAAGCAGTCGAGGATGCCCCAAAGCCTTAGGACCCTGCACCCATGAGGGAGACTCTGAAGAAGTTTCTAGCTCCTGACTTTGGATTGGCTCAGCCCCAGCCATTGTGGCCGCTTGGAGAGTGAACCATCAGAGGGAAGATTCTCTTCTCTCTCCTCCTCTCTGTATGTCTGCTTTTCCAATAAAAATAAATAAATCTTAAACAAACAAACAAAAAACCCCCAAAAAACCTGGCTAAATGTGTGTGAATTAGAAGTTTTATATACTTAAGATTTCTATAAGCTCTTTCCAAATATTACGTACAGCACCAAAGGAAAAAAAAAAAAGACAATAATCAAAAGATAAAACATAAACTTACAAGACAACTTCTTGTCCATAAATCTGCAAAAGTGAAAAGGGTAAAGATTAGGTAACTGCTTAAAAATGCTAAGCATAAGTAAAACAGGTAAAATATTAAATATGATAGGAATACGAAATTAAGAAGAATAAAATCTGGTCAGAAAGAATAAAAGCGCAATGTAATAGAGGGAATGAAATTTCTTTTTGGGATGGGCTTTGGTGCAAAGGTGAAAGCACTGCCTGGGACCCTCCAGCAGTGCCTGGATCGGGGTCCCAGCTTTGCCTCCCATCCACCTTCTTGCTGATGCCTACCCTCGAAAGCAGCCAATGGAGTCTGAGTTTCCAGGCTTTGGCCTGGTCTGCCTCTTGCTGTTGGGGGCATTTGGAAAGTGAACAAGTACATGAAAGACCCCTTCCTCTTTCAAATAAATCAGAAACAAAACCAAAACATTTTTGGTCAATACTGTTGTTGCTTCACTGAGCTAATTTTTCAGGAGTGGATTCTATAATCATAGTAGAAAAACATTTTATAAGATCTGCTTATCTGAAAAGCAGATTTACAGAGGAGAGACAGAACGATCTTCCATTCACTGTTTAATTTCCAAGTGGCTGCACTGGCTAGAGCTGAGCTGATCACTTAGTGTGTGCCTTTGAGGGTTAGTACTTTTTCTAAGACTTACTCAGTTGGCCATCAATAAAAATACAAAGTTTATGAGAAACTGCAATCAGACGTTAATTTTTTCTGAAGTAATAACTTAGTCTATGGACTTGAAGTACCCACCTGTACAATGCCGTTGTTAACAGTACACAAGGGGCAAAGGGCTTCTTTCAGGTCTCCCACATAGGTGCTTTGGGCCAATCTTCACTGCCTTCCAGCCATAAACATGGAGCTGGATTGGAAATGAAGCCGGGACAAGAACCCGCACTCAACTGGGATGTCGGTGTGTGTAGGCAGAGTATCAGCCAGATGGGCCATTGTGCTGGCCCCCAAGACACAATTAAAAAATGTTTTTAAAGTCAAACTCCAGTCTTGGACCTTGTGGTCATTTGGGGAGTGAATCAATGGATGGAAGATCCCTGTCTTTCCCTTGGTTAGCACTTTCCATCCATTCCTCAAATGCTGCAAAAGCCAGAGCAGGGAACTGTCTCCAGGTCTCTCGTGGCGGCAGAGCCCCAAGCACAGATGCTGGAAAATCGAAGCGGCCAGGCATCAGTTTAACTTGTGTGCTACCTCAGCTGCCCACAAGCCTTCTGGGGAGTGAACCAGCAGACAGAAGGTCTCTGTCACAGGCCACAGAACAGCAGCCAGCACACACCAGCTTATTTAACCCTTATGTACTATTACCACCAGCATTACATATGTGGGTGCTTCAACAAGTCCCTAGACAACGTGTATTACTTAAAAAAAATTTTTTTTGCACCAGAATTAACTTTTGATTGCAGTTTCTCATAGATCTTGTATTTTCACCGACGGATACCTGAGTAAGTCTTACAAGTAATACACTAAGTGTCACGCTTGAGCAAACACACAGTTCAGTTGGGCTGGAGAACAGCGAATCAGATGTGGGAGCTGGGGGACTGACTGAGCGCAGGGATTTCAGATGCAGGGAGCACCTGATTCCCCACACAATTAAGCCAAACCAAGGCAAGGAGACGAAGGAGTCAAAGTTGTCTTTGTGAGGGAGAATGCATGGATGTGTGGGAAGTGGAACTACAGGGTCTCACCATTTCATCAGTGCCAGAGGGGGCCCAGAGGACACTCACACCATCTCATCAGCTCCCCAGTAAGACAACTTTCAGATGAGCATCTCAGTACACGATTTTCTGTTTGCTAACGTGTGTCTGCTCATTTAAAGCCACGAGAGAAGACAGAAAAGGTGAAGATGAAGTTCAACAGTGTGAGCAGGTGCAAGCGCTCAAGTTTCCGATCTAAAGGAACACTCTTCCTTAAACGTTGCTTACTTACACTCGGTACAAAAACAACTACCACCCACAATCTAATCAGCCTTCTCTGATCAGAAAAACCAGCCTTCTCACTCCCCTCCATCAAACCAAGACACCACGAGACGGCCAAGTTTAACTGCAATACAAGGCAGAAAAGGAGGACTTCTGGTAGCTCAAAACACACAGTTTCACGTTAGGTCTGCTTGTTTTGATTGCTCATATACAAGCACGCACGACTTGTTTCCAGAAAAGTCCCTTCTGGACTCCTGGGCTAGAACCCGACGCTGCACAAAGCGCGGCCTCCGGGTACCGGGCAGGGCTCGGCCGGGAGGGCAGTGGACAGAAGGCCGGGACTCGGAGCCGGGGAGGGCAGTGGACAGAAGGCCGGGACTCGGAGCCGGGGAGGGCAGTGGACAGAAAGCCCGGACTCGGAGCCGGGGAGGCCCCACCGAGGGGGGCAGGCCGCGCGTGGCCACCGCGGGAGCAGCCGAGGCAGGGGCCCTGCCGTCCGGAACGCCACGCGGGGGGTCCCGAGAGAGCCGCGCGGGATCCAGGGCCCTCATGCACACTTACTTTTTCAACTCGGGAGGGTGAGCTTTGCTCATGGCAGCGGCTCGGACGCTCACACACTCCTGGAAACGCAGTCGGCCTCCCCACGCTCCCGCCGCAGGCCCGGCGCTCGGCGTCTGACGCCACCCACCCCGTGAGCCAATCGTCTGTCCGCACAGGCCACGTTCTATCTCGCGGTACCGAGGCGCAGCCCGCGCGCCGCATCCGCCGGCAGCTTCCGGCGACGACGTCAGCCCTGAGCCCGGAGGTGCCTTCCGCCCTGGGTTTGTGCTCAGTGGGCAGTGTCCGCGTCTTCGTCTTCTTGAGGAACCGTGTCCCTGCACTAACGAGTGTACTAAGCGAGTTCCAGAGTGGGCCCCGGCATTTCTGTATCCCCCCAACCTCGCAGCCCTGGACACGCATTCCCAAGGATCCCCGCCGTCAGGACATGAATCGGCTCGGCGCCTCGGGGTCAGGCTGCTGGGCGCTGAGCCTCCTGGACACCAGGCGGATTCCCGACTGCGCCTTCCCTTCCAGCCACTGCGTTCCTGGGAGGGTGATGCCTCCATGTCCCCGGGGTTGCACTCCCGGCTCTGCCTCTGACCGCGGCAGGCATTTTGGGTAGTTAACCAGTGGACACGGCAACTCTTAAACACGTAAGAGGTTTCCCTACAGATGCTCTGATGAGGCACTGCTCTTGAGGGGCTGGCTCAGTTATTCAAAATAGAACAAGCCAGGAATTAGAAGAGATTTTGACTGAGAAGGCTTGGGTAGTTTTAAATAATAAGGTGTCGGTTTCCAAAGTTCAGTTCACTCCTAATGTTCAGGAATGGCCTTATGTAAGCACTCAAGGAGAAAGACTTAAATCCGTCCTGCATTTTGTACCTTTGGGTACTCAAAATCTCATTAAAATTTTTCCCAAGGACTCAAAACCACATACTTTTTCCATCACTTGCTGTTAGTGATTAGCTAGCATAGCCCTCCAATGATGTCCAACTTCTCAGCTCCCCGCTTTTTTACATCAAAGGACTTAAGATCACAGCCTGCCCTCAAAGCTTTTCCCATTTAAAATGAACAAGTCTTGCATCTGAACCATATAATACAAGTCATTTCTACATTTCTGGATATCTTAAATAAATTTCCACACCTAACAAGGAGAAACACGCTGAGAAAGTGACATTTACCGCGCAGATATAAGCACAGAAACATGATGAGGGACAAATTTAACCTTGTTTTATTTAAAACCAAACAATTAGGAAAATATATCACAGCATTCAAACAGTGAACAGATAAGCTATATTATCATTTTAGCAAGTCCTTATCAAACATAAGGTGTCAGGTTGGGGCACAACACTGCATCTTGCGAAGTCCCCAAACATGGCCTGTGCTGACGTGGGGCTGCCTGCCTTCGATCCCAGGCAGTTGGGGCTCGTCCTAACCCAAGTTGCCTTTTCTCTCATGGCCTTCCTGTTGTTGGGATTGTCTGCTTGGTGTTAATTTGGGGACTAAGTAAGCAATGCTGTGCTTGGCTTTATTCCACTCTTTTACACAAATCCACGCTTCCCCAAAAGCACAGTACTTCAGAGTTCTTTGATCACAGAGCCAAGAGACCATCTTTCACCGTTCATTCCCGGGTACCGTAATTACTGCTGTGAAAACGTTCTTCCCCTTCAAGGGGGAAAGTGCTGTGACAAATTTATCTGGTTACTCAGTGTGAGGGGAGCTGTGCTTCCTGTCCCCTGAGTGACATCTCCAGGATGGGATGCAGTAAGAATATCAGGAGATGGAGGTCCATGCCAGAAAAGGACACCCACAGGGGTCCTGCAAAATTTCTCCTGAAACTACTCCTCCTTCCAACTCCACATCTGAAATCACTGCATGCCCTTGTGTGTAAAAAAACCAGCCAAAGACCCGAAGAGGCAGTTTCCTTTTCTAACGCGGTGACCTCATGGATTGTGTTTACAGTGTAAGGACGATGGTGTGGTGAAAGCTCGGGGAAGCAGGATGCTGGCAGCCCACCGAAACCCGGGCTGCACCTGCCACCAGCACGCAGCCCCAGCCTGCTGCCGCCTACGCAGGTAAGGAGAATCTGGTGCAAGGAAGGCCCAGACTTGTGGCACAAGGGAGGCCCCACTCGTAGCACGGACACTTGGCATGTGAAATGCAGGCCTGGAAACACTCTCCTGTGCCGTCTGACCCGGGTTTTAGCACCATGTTGTTCACTTCAGCTCCAGGAACTGGAATATGAAGGAACTAGAGTCCGGAGGCAGATGACATGCCTTACACCTGCTGGCTTCCTTGATTTCCTTTATAAACTTCTATACAGAAGGACTAAGTTCCCGTTCTTTTTAAAACAGATTCCTTCCCTCAGCCCTGGTGGCCACTGGCACTTTTACTTCCCCATGTTCGAGAGTGCCTCCTTCATCTTCTTGGTCATGGTTGGGATGAGGTGCAGGTGGTCATCCACACACTTGGTCACACAACTGTCCAGCTGCTGCTTCACCTGGGACTCCTTAGTCCCCGCATCTATGGAATCTTTGGCTTTGTCATTGCAGTGCATGGTGCACCGGGCAAGGCGGTCCTACGGCAGGAAGAAGAGAGGTGAGAAGCCCGAGGCCACCTTTACTGAGTGTGGAGGGCAGGCCCTGTGCACCCAGGCTCACCAGAGAGGATCTTTATCAACCAAGGGAGACACTTCAGTATAATTAAACAAGACTGTCTACGCTGATACTAAAGGAGGCACTGGAAGGCTCCGAGAAATCTGAACAAGATAGGATTTTAGAACACTCTGTGAGGGGGCTGGCATTGGGGTGCAGTAGGTTAAGCAGTGGCTGCTGCCAGTGACATCAACATTCCATGCTGGAGCACTGGCTTGCATTCCAGCAGCTCCACTTCAGATCCAGCTCCCTGCTAATTCGCCTGGGAAGGCAGTGGAAAATGCCCCTAATGCCTGGGCCGCCTGCCACGCAGGCTCCTGGCTTCAGTTTGGTTCAGCCCCTTCTGTTGTGCTGTGAGAGGGATATGAGCCACTGGATATGATTCTTTCTCTCTAATCCCTGCCCTGCAGCTTCCTTTCAAACAGATACATGAAATCTTAAAAAGAAAAATAGAGCCATTAAATCCACCCCCTGCTGCTCTGGGGGACAGTGGGAGAAGACTGCTATGAAGGGAGAGGTTTATAGAGGTTACTGTTAGATATACAGAAGTCTTGATTTATTCATGCCTTTCCTTGCCACAGAAAAACAATTCATCACATTTTAACTGAGCATTTACTATGTGCCAGGCTCTTTTTTTTTTTTAAAGATTTATTTTATTTTCATTACAAAGTCAGATATACAGAGAGGAGGAAAGATAGAGAGGAAGATCCTCCATCTGATGATTCACTCCCCAGGTGAGCGCAGTGGCTGGTGCTACGCCGATCCGGAGCCAGGATCCAGGATCCAGAAACTTCTTCCGGCTCTCCCATGTGGGTGCAGGGTTCTAAGGCTTTGGGACATCCTTGACTGCTTTCCCAGTCCACAAGCAGGGAGCTGGACAGGAAGCGGTGCTGCTGGGATTAGAACCAGCGCCGATATGGGATCCCAGCACGTTCAAGGCGAGGACTTTAGCTGCTAGGCCATGCTGCCAGGCTGTGCCAGACTCTTATAACGTTCAGACATACAGTTATAAGTCTGAGAAGGTTCTTTCCCTTAGAAAACTTAGATTTCAGCGAGGGAAGAAACACAAATTTCTGTGCAGATGGGGAGGACACAGTTGGGCACATGCACCTGGGATGCAGACTGGTCTAGATGGAGAGCACGAGTGCCAGACACTCCAGTTGACAGTCACAGCCATGAGACCAGAGAAGCAGTGGGAAGCACAAGGACCAGGCACAACAGGGCACTGCAGTGCCTCGGCGGGGTGGGAGTGGGGGAGAGAAGAGCCAGCCAGGGCTGGTCCAAAGGGAGGAACACCCAGCGGGAGGTGTACACAGTATCAGCAATGCACACGGGCAGAGTGAGATGAGGACCAAGAGTGATCCCTGATGTAGCCGCTCAGGGGTGGTGACAAGGTCGGCTCTGGCACAGTGGAAGAATGAGTGTGTGCTTGGAGTGGACGGAAGAGGATACAAGGACAGAGCTATCCAGCAATCCAAGGATTGAATTCCCAAAGACCTCATCTACAAAGGATCTCCAAAAAGTTCACGGGGTGGGGGGTGCAGGGCATCCTATATGGGCACTGCTCATGTGCTGCAGTTCTACTTCCCTTCTGTCTGCAAAAAATTATGGGGCCCGGAGTGGTAGACTAGTGGCTAAAATCCTCTCCTTCCACATGCTGGGATCCCACATGGGTGGCAGTCCATGTCCCGGCAGCCCGGCTTCCCATCCAGCTCCCTGCCCATGGCATGGGAGAACAGTCGAGGGTGGCCCAAAGCCTAGGGACCCTGTACTCACATGGCAGACCTACTTTGGATCAGCTCAGCTCTGGCTGTTACAGCCTTCTGTGGAGTGAACTAGTGGATGCAAGATCTTTCTGTCTTTCTTTCTCTCTCGGTAAAATCTGACTTTCAAATAGAAACAAATCTTAAAAAAAAAAAAAAGCTCATGGAAAATGCACAATGAGAAAAATGTGCTCTTGATAAACTTTAAAAAGTTTGTTTCTTGAAAAGCATAGAGAGAGAAAGATGGAGACTAACACGGCTCTCCAGTCTGTTGGTCCACTACCCAAATGCCTGCAACAGGCACGTCTGAGTCAGACGGAAGCCAGGAGCTTGGAGCTCAATCTGGGCCCTCCACCCGAGTGGCGGGCCGAGCACTTGGGCCTCCCAGGGTGCGCCTCAGCAGGATGCTGGGATCTGGAGTGGGACTGGGACTCAAACCCATGTCCAAGCAGTACCAAAGCGCTCTATCAAATGCCTGCTCCAAACTAATCTTTGAATTCCATTTCTTCTGCAAATTTTTATAAAAAGATTTACTGGCAAGTCAGATTTACAGAGATGGAGAAACAGAGAGAAAGATCTTTCATCTACTGGTTTGCTCCCAAAGTGGCTGCATTGGCCGGAGATGAGTTGATCCGAAGCCAGGAGCCTGGAGCCTCTTCCAGGACTCCCATATGGGTGCAATGTCCCAAGGTTTTGGGCTATCCTTTCCACTTTCCCAGGCCACAAGCAGGGAGCTGGATGGGAGGTGGAGAAGACAGCACATGAACCAGTGCCCAAAGGGTTTCTGGCGGATACAGGGCAGTTATTTAGCCACCGAGCCGTTGTGCCAGGCTCAGTCACTAAGTTCTAGAAAATAAAGATACTTAGAAGGAGGAGTAAAATGAAGTGGATTTCAATGCAAATGCTCCCTGCAGGTGACTGCTCTGCAGTGACGGGAGTCGCTCTGTACAGCAGGCAGGGCCTGGAGCAGAGCCGGTGTGTTAGTGCACAACTGTTCCTAAGGGCCTGCGCTAATGCACACCTCCTCATGACTGCCCGCTCCACACTCCTGGGGATGCTGATATTTTAAAAATTAATAGCAGCTGGTGCTGTGGTGTGGTAGCTTAAGCCTTCATCCGCATCTCATGTGAGCAAGGATCCTGGCTGCTCCATTTCCGATTCAGATTTCTGGTAATGTGCCTAGGAAAGCAGTGGAGGATGGCTCAAGAATTTAGGCCCCTCCACTCTCCATGTGGGAGTCAGGGAAGAAGCTGTTGGCTCCTGGTGTGTGGCCATTTGGGGAATGAGCCAGTGAATGGAAGCCTCTGTCTCTCTCTCCTCTGTAGATCTTCCTTCCAAATACAAATAAATACATCTTAAAAAATATTATATGGTTCAACTCACAGCACTTCCAGGACTTTACCCAGAAAACCCCATGAAGACTGGGGTTTGAAGACCACAAATGTCAACACAAGTAAACCCAGGCGCTTGGGAACAGATGTGCAAGGAGCAGAGCTGGGGCCCGTTTCTCTCACCTGGAACTTCTCCAGTTCGCTCGTCACCAGGGCTTGGGCTTGAGCCAGGGGCATATGGCAGCGCTCGATGCACTGGTGCACCTGCTGCATGGATGCCCGGCTGTCCTCGCAGCAGCCGGCGCTGCACTGGAACATCAGGCCCTGGGGAAGGGGGACACGGGGGCCCCAGTCATTGAAGGCCAGGTTTCTGCACTGCAGGGTTCGGAGGTCGGCCACCTCCACGTCCACTGGAGGGCAGCCGGCCAGGGGAGACCCACAAGGAGCTGAGGGGGTCAGGGCAGAAACGCCCATAACTCCGCACACGCGTGACATATGCGAAGCGGAGTTCGGGTACCGCAGAATCGGGGACGACCCGGCCATCCTGCGTGCCAGGCGTCCTGGAGTTTTCACCTTTCTGGTGGATCACCTTGGCCGTGCCCTTTCAGGGCCTCGGGGCACACGGAAGGCGGGGGTGGACCCGCGCCTCACGCCGGGACCTTCCGCCGCGGACACCCGCTTTCCCTGGCTGGGCGGGGTAGGAAACAGCCTCACGTGCGGTGAGGGCGTATGGAGTTCACCCGAGCAGCGCGGGGTCGCCCAGACCGGGTCTGCGGGAACGGGGGACAGGCGGCGGCCGAGGGAAGGTTCCCGAAGTCCAAGCGCCGGGGAGGGAGAGCCCTGCCCGGTCCCCGCGCCGCTACCTGCATCTTGCGGATGTTCTCCCTCTCCAGATTCTTCACCATAGAGTCCACGGCTTCCTGCACGCGGAGCTGCTGCAGCTCGGCCATGGCGACCCGGCGCTGCGCGGCAGCGGCACCCGCGTGGACTCGGCGCAGGGCCCGCCCCCTCACCGCCAATTCCCGGCTGGCCGTGCGGCCGACCCTTCCTGTCGCCGCCGGCGCCGCCTGGCGTCCGCGCACGGAACTGCGGGCGTCCGGCTCGGCGGGCCGGCTCGGACCGGCTCGGACCGGCTCGGACCGGCTCTCCCGCCGTCCCTTCTGAAGCTGCTGAGGGGTTGTGGGGAGCGCCGAGACTGCCTGCCTGTCTGCCGCCTGTCTTCCTTCAGATTTATGAAGAAATGTGTAATTAGCAGACGCATAGATGAATTATTAACGAACCTCGCCAGTTCCTAGTCAGTTGCTGCGCTGTTTCTCCTTCTCCCTCCATCCGGACCGTCCATCTGCTGTCAGCCGCTGTTGGCTTCTTTGACTGCGTCTTGGGCGCTTTGTCGGTTCCATTGCATTGTTCAGTAGTCTGCCACAGACAGGCCGCCCGGCCCGCCCAGCCCTCCGTGGGTGGAAGGTGGTGTTTTCCAGTTGCCCGCTATTAGGAGCCAACTGGGTACCCAGCACATCCTTGAAGAGGGATTTTCTAGCACATTATGTTTTCTTTGCGGTATCTGGAAGTAGAATTGTTAGGTCATTGGGTAGAGGCATGTTTTTGCATGCTTTTTTTTTTTTAAGATTTATTTTCATTGGAAAGGCAGACTGACAGAGGAGAGACAGAAAGATCCTCCGTTTGCTGATTCACTCCCCAAGTGGTCACAACAGCCAGAGCTGAACTGAAGCAAAGCCAGGAGCCAGGAGCCTCTTCCAGGTCTCCCACTCAGGTGCAGGATCCTAAGGCTTTGGACCATCCTTGACTGCTTTCCCAGGCCACAAGCAGGGAACTGGATGGGAAGTGGGGAATCCAGGACATGAACTAGTGCTCATATGGGATGCTGGTGCCAGCCACTCTATGCCTTTCTAATAAATACCTAATAGCATAACTATCATAAGCAATATAAATTATTAATATGCCATACCACAACGTAATGGTAATAAATGCCTAGTACATAACATAAATAAATTAGTATTACAAATAGTAAACAACAATGAGGCACTTATATGCCCAGGAGGATCCAACTCCTTCCTGAAAGGGTTCTGACTGGCACGCCTAGCCCCAAATGTGCTGTCCTATGTTCTCTTTCAGTGGGCACCTGCTAGGCATGGAATGTTGTGCCTGGGGCCTGGGCACTTAGAAGGCCTTCGGTGGAGAACGGGCAGGTGCTGTGTTCAGTGTGTTCTGGAAGGGGGCTGCTGGGTCAGGCCAAGAAGGATACCATGTTGGAGGTGGATCGTGAGTTGAGCTGAGACCAGTAGGATTTGCTTGGCGCACAAGTGGGCGAAGAGAAGGCCTTGCCGAGCATTGGGTGGGGTGCTGCTGTGGACAGAGGCTGAGAGAGCTTGAACACTGGGGAGCTCTGGGGTAGCCAAGGAGCCGGACAGGTGAATATGACAGTAAGGAACGGTCTGGTCCCTGGAAGGTAGGCATTTCCCACCGTGGCCACCAGGTGGCAGGAGAGTTCCGCTGGATTCCTCCCAAGGTCCTTGGAGGCAAGGATGCTCTGCAACTCCGGGACCGCTGTTCAGGACTGGTGACCGGTAACGCCAGGCTGGGGCGGCTCCCGGTGGCAGCTGGCAGGAGCGGGACCCCGGGGCTGGGACAGTGGGCCCGGTAGTGTGTTAACCCTCTGCTGGGATTCTCTTGTTGAATGCACATAGTGATCCCGTGAGGTAATCCACGGTTCTCCCAGCAAAGGGAGTCCGAGGGAGGGGAAGGCAGTTAATTGGAGGAGCGACCTAGCACTTAGAAGTTGCTGGAGCAGGGCTTCCAGTTTGTGAGAAGGAAGTGTAGGACTCTGCTGGATGAACTTTGTGTTTGCATTTCTGACTCCACATGCCCCAGAAAGCTTGTCCCCAGTGGCACAGTTTTATAGCAATTTCCGTCTTTGTCCTTTATTCCTAAGATGTCCGGCTGGATTTCTCCTGGGAGTGCCCTGTGTAGGAGCCCTGTCAGGTACACTGAGCAAGACAGCCTTGCTAGCTCATGTGTATTTTCATGAGTGGTCTTTAGTTTATGAATAAGGATTCCTGACGTCCACTTGGCTTGGTGCTTGGTCCATTTTCTGTTGTTTTGCCAGGCACGTTAGCAGGGAGCTGGACTGGAAGCAGAGCAACTGGTATTTGAGCTGCCATCTTGTATGGGATGCCAATGTTGCAGGCCATGTCTTTTTTTCCTTTAGATTTATCTTCTTTCTTTCTTTCTTTCTTTCTTTCTTAGGATTTATTTTTATTGCAAAGTCAGAAACACAGAGAAGAGGAGTGATAGAAAGGAAGATCTTCCATCTGATGGTTCACTCCCCAAGCAGCTGCAACAGCCAGAGCTATGCCAATCCGAAGCCAGGAGCCAGGAGCTTCATCCTGTCTTCCATGTGGTGCAGTGTCCCAAGGCTTTGAACCATCCTTGACTGCTTTCCCAGGTCACAAGCAGAGAGCTAGATGGGAAGCAGGACCACCCAGGATTAGAACAGGCACCCATATGGGATCCTGGCGCTTGCAGGGTGAGGACTTTAGCCACTAGTCTATTGCACCGGGCCCTAAATTTGTTTTCATTTGAAGTGCAGAATTACAGAAAGAGAGAGGGAGAAAGAGAGAGAGAGAATCTTTCATCTGCTGATTCACTCCCCAATAGCCATAGTGGCTGGAGCTGGGTCACCTCGAAGCCAGGAGCCAAGAGCTTCCTCTGGGTCTCCTACATGAGTGCAGGGACCCAAGGACTTGATGTATCCCCTATTGCTTTCTCAGGCCACAAGCAGGGAACTGGATTGGAAGTGAAGCAGCTGGGACTTGGACTGGTGCACATATGGGATTCTGGTGCCACAGGCAGAGGCTTAGCCTGCTGCATCTTGGTAACAGCTCCAGGCAATGTCTTAAGTCCTGTGCCATGGCATAGACAAGGACTGAAATTGCAGTATGAAGTGTGAAGATGTGAGGAGGTCCTAGGATAAGAGCAGGTGGCAGTTCCGGAATGGTTGAGCAACCCAGGAGCAGAGGAGGCATACATGCTGCATCCCTGGCAGGTGACCAGGCTCCAGCAGGTGCTGCTGGCTGCAGGGTGGACCTGGGGGAGCATGTCAGGCAGCCCCCAGGGGAGATGCAGGGCTCAGTAGGTGCTTCCCCAGAACAGCCTGGAAGCAGCTGGGGCTTGAGATTACTCCAAGTACCTCCTTCCTGAGGGAACTGCGTAGTGGGCTCTCACAGGCTAGAGAAGCACAGAGCCAGCTGGGCAGAACTTTGGGTTGCCAAAGTGACTATTAAAAATTATTTTGTTTTTAATGTTGTTTACATAGTTGGCAAGGATGCACACCCATGGGGGCCACTGGCTAGGGTTGGAGGGTCTTCCCTGGAGGAAGGTGGGTGGGAGAAATGCTTCGGTTTTCCTTCTCTTCCCTTTGCCCCTGTATGTGAGCGGCCAAGGTGCTCTGAAGCAGTTGTAACCCAAGAATGCAGACCTCCCTCCTTGCAGATGCCAGCCTGGACAGCTGCCCCCAGTGGCGGGGGCACCAACATCCACACTGACTGGGTTTATGTTTCTGCCAACCAGCACGAGGGAGCTCACGTTAGAAATTCTGGCCTCTTAGGCAAGGTGGCTTTCTTGTACATCTGAGAGCGTGGACAGAGATCTGTGTTAGCTATGTGTGTGCCCTGCTGGTGAAGAATCAGTTGGCAAAAGTGCCCTGCTGCATGGGCATCAGGAATTAGGAACCTGTGAGCTCTGGTTTAGGCACCAGCAGCAGCTGCCGGACCTGACCTTCGCCACGTGTGTTCACCTGTATCTTTCCAAGGCTATTGCCATGAGAGTTCTGCCCTCCAAGCTTTTGAGACGTTTTACATGATAAAGCTGGTATTTATAGTTCTGTCTTACTGTTGTCTCAAAGTCCCTGAAAGGAAGGGCTGGGCCCGTCAGGATCTGCTTGTAACCCCTTTCCACACTGCTTAGCCCGTGCTGGCCGTGCTGCGTCCTTAGAGTTACACACACCATCTCTCTCCCAGCCTCTGGCCCAGGTATGGGCCACATCTCTGAGATGTGCTGCCCTCCTCTCTGCCTTGTGGCTTCCTGTTTGAGACGTGGCTATATGTGCGGTGTTTTCTACCACCTCTTAACCTGAAACCCTTTGGGTTCCCCTGGACAGCAGGGGTCTCGATCTCATGTTTTTTTGAGTCTGCAGGGAGCACAGGGTGAATGCAGTTGGTTTAGTCTGAGCACCCACGTGTGCAGAGTGATGTGGCTATGGCAGACGGGACACATTCTCAAGGTGTATTTATTTATTTTGAATAAGATAGACAAAATATAGTAAACCTCCTCTTGAGACTGCTCAGTAATCATTGTGTCCTTTAACTAAATCTGTTTAAGAAGCAGAGAGAGAGAGAAAATTCTCAGCTTGGGGCCCGGCGTGGTGGCGCAAGTGGTTAAAGGTCCTCGCCTTGCACGCCCAGGATCCCATATGGGTGCCGGTTCTAATCCCGGCAGCCCCGCTTCCCTTCCAGCTCCCTGCCTGTGGCCTGGGAAAGCAGTCAAGGACAGCCCAAAGCTTTGGGACCCTGCATCCGCGTGGGAGACCCGGAAGAGGCTCCTGGCTTCGGATCGGCATAGTATCGGCCCGTTGCGCTCACTTGGGGAGTGAATCATCGGACGGAAGATCTTCCTCTCTGTCTCTCCTCTCTGTATATCTGCCTTTCCAATGAAAAAAAAATAATAAAAATAAATCTTTAAAAAAAAAAAAAAAAAAAAGAAAATTCTCAGCTTGTTGACTCTCTAGATGCCTGCACTGGTCAGGGCTAGGCCAAGACAGATGCAAGGATCTATGATGTGAAGCTGGAGTTCACTGTCTCCCACCAGGAGGCAGGTGTCTGATGACTTGAATCATCACTGTACTAGCGGGGAGCTGGAGTCAGCTATGAACCCAGGGTCTCCAATGTGGGACCCAAGTGTCTTAATCACCAGG